CCTCCTCTCCCGGTGCCGCAGGATCTCGCACAGAGCAGCTCTGTCTCCTGAGCAAAAGTTTCCCACGGCCTCCGCGCCGGCTCCTGGGGCTCGCAGGGGTTTCAGAGCCACCATCCCAGTGAGTGAACACTGGAAAACTCTATAGATTTTGCACAGAAATCTTAGCACAGAATCTCCTCCTCATTCTTTTTGCCTCCTGGTAATTGGATCTGGTCCTCTAATCTATACAATTAATGTACGTGCACATTCTTTTTATTTTGTTTGTATCTCTTGTTTCCAAGTCCTTGAGCATTTACTTTTCTCTTGTTCTAATAATTATAACTTTACATACTTTCTGGTTTTGGTCAGAACCTTCTATATGGGCTTTTCTTCAGCCGAGCTTCATCCTGACTAGCTTTTTTCAAACTTAAAATTTAGAAAAACAAATGTGTATGCATTTTTGTATCTGTTTGTAGTTTTCTGTAGTCTTTTCTTGTTTGTATATATGCATAAAGAGAAAGCTTTAATAAGAAATTTCTATGCTAATGGAAACTTTTTTTTTTAATTTGTAGGCTTTAATGTGTTTGTAGCTCCTATATGCAGTATAAAGATTTTAATTTATCTTTGACCTTTTGATTAAATTCGTCCTTTCTGAGACATTCAGAAATTATAATTTCTGAATTACTGAGGCCTTCAGAAACACTACTGAACACTGAAGTGTTACAATGGTGGGATTTAGTATGATGTCTCCATCAAAGACCCTGAATTTAAATATGGGTCCTGTTGTTTAGTGGATCTGTTACAGTTAGTTCTTCAGCTAAATCCTTCATGTTACTTAGGAGTAAAGAAGAGCCTTTCCAATCATGAGTTTTCAAAATATCATTTTAAAAAGCAGTCATTTCAGTTTATCAAGCATATGCTTACACAAACCACGTTTTATTCAAAAAATGTCCAATAGGTGAGTTATACTTCAGATTACTGTTTTGACTGTATCATCTCTCTGCTTTCCCTCAGTAGGATACGCACCATGAGACAAGCCGGTACTTTCAAGTACCCTTCTATTCCTATGGCTACAAGTGCTACCTGCACAAGTTTTCCCACTGCATTTCTTAAGTTACTGCTGCTCTGTAGATTGCAGATACTTCAAACCTATTAAAAAAGCAGGAAACGATATATGTTTCGGCACCCCTATGGACATTTATCCATTTTGCACAGTCTAGACCTTGCAAGTAATAAATGCTATAATTATATTCCAATTAATACATACATACAATTTCTATTGAGGTAAATATAAAAGTCTGATCATTCTAAACAATAAACAAGTTTGTTAAAACAGTATCTTGAAGGAGATCAGTTAAATCCAGAGTACAAATGCGTGTCACATTCTACTGAAGTTAACAGAATTTTTCCATTTGGTTTAGGTTCGGCTGTGTTGATAACAGTTGTTCTAGTTCAGTGCTGATTCAGGCTTAGCAAAACCTGAAAATAATGATTGAAGTCCACAGTCAAGTTTGGGTTTGCTTCAGTTCCACACACAGAGTTTCATCCAGGATGAACTGAAGCCTCCCATTCGCTCAGAACATACGTGCACTTCCAGTCTTCATCTTCGTGACGAAGTCAAGAACAAGCAGAATGGATCTATTCAATTTTATTCTTGTAGCTGAATGCAGCACTGAATGAACCAGCAACAATAATTGTATAAAATAACTAAGTAACAAAGAGCTGTCACATCAAATAGCATCTATATTTCTAAATCAATTTGTATCTTCTAAATAAAATTATATTCAAAAAAAAACAGAAAAAAAAAGAGGAGGAAGAAGAAAACTCCTTTAAAGGAAACAAATACTCAGTATGATTTTCTCATTACAATGCACATGCAGAGAGAGCATCTAAGGATTATAGAGAAACCTTAATGTCATAATTTCCTATGTGACTTTTAACTCTGTAATCTTAATGACACCTACAAAATCCCAGAAGTTGAAGAAAGCTCAAAATGAAAAATCAAACAAACAGAAACAATTCTTGAATTCTCCCATCTGCAACAGTTTCAACTTCTGAGGAATGGTCAGAGGCAGGCTGGGCCCTCAGCGGGTGCAAAGGAAGGACCTACCATTGCACAAATGCTGCCTAAAATTTTTTACTCTCACCACTTGTCCAAATTTGGGGTGGATTTTTCAAGTGGACAGAAGCCGCAGGCCCCTGACAATGAGAGGACTCACTGCCAAATTGCAAGCCTTTGCTCTAAAGCTTCAACTGTAGAATGGTTTTGCTGAAATCCTTCAAAAATTCCATGTGAGGCGGATATTCAGTCTGGAAAATGTATGACTTTCATCAGTTGGGTTAAATTAGGTCCTATGAAGGGTTATAGTTATGCCTGTAACTAGTAATGTGTCCAAAACAAACAAAAAAAATGTGATGATCACCTGTTGGTTCATCATCTTTCCCTCAAGGAGTACTTAACTGTGATAAAACCCTTCTTTAATCTTGGGATAAAAGTGGTTAAAAGCAGATGGGAAAATCACACTAAAATCATGGTCAGAATCACAGCGCCAGATTTTGGAAAGCTGAGCTCCAGAGGTGAGGCTGGCACTTAGCTCCGAATCGCCTGAAGCACCTCACATGGTTGCAACTTGTGCCAGCTCTGCGCAGACATTTAGCAACGCTGACGACCACGTGCGCAGGGCGCGCTGCTTGAGCCAACAGCCTCGTCATTCCGGCAGCGGCTACGCTGGATCAGAGGTCACGGTCGCGAAAGAGGTACCTAACGCTGGCAAAAAGGACTGCGCGGAGGGGCTGAGCTGTCAACGCGGAGCCCGTATTTGGACTCTGCATTCGCTGGGAGCCAGGGTGCTCCACGAGGGTTTGTTTGTGGTGATCCGTGTTGCTAGGCAGACGGGCGGCTGCCGCTTGTACCAGCGAGGAGCTTTTTCTGGACATGAGACTCCAGTTCCTAGAAATAAGTAACTGAAGTACCTTTAGAAAAGTTTCCTAACAGTGATAAACACCTGATTGTGAAAGTGGGGGCAGAAAATCTGCATGCTCAGAAGACAACAAAATGGGCTAGCATTTTTTTTCCTGTTTTAATTCTTCTTTGTTGAGCTAAAATGCAGAAAAAAAAAAAAAGACTAGCATTTAGTGACCCAAGTTAAATTCCCTTTTTGCTTTGCACTTAGCACTTTGGTTCTACCTTTAACAAATACTCTCTACAGGATATGGAACGACTTAGCTATCTAGCTTCTTTTCCCAGAACAATAAATGCTGCTAATTCCGAGTGTGCCGCTAAGTGTTGTTCCGCTAAGCTTTCTACAAGCACTTGAGCTGCAAGGGGGCACAGCGATGAGGTGGTCTTTTTCCTTACAGCATCAGCTTTAGTATTAAAACATGCCCATAGGGGAGGAGGAATAGGATAGCACCATATTCTCGGCTTCACCTGGCTGAGAGGACAGGACACAGATGTGGAGCGTTGCATGGAACTTCATATAACTTGCAGGTGCTTCCCTATCATTGCTGGAGTTTGTTCTTGCTTAAGAATGATCTCTCCACAAGATGTTCCTGGGTCATGTTAACCCAGCATTGCTGGGGGCTCTGTGTTTATAGTCTTTTTTTAATTATGTGAAGCTTAAAAAAAAAAGTAACTTCAAATTATTATTTCTAAATACCAATCTCTAAAAAAGGGCATTTGTTTATGCTAGGCAATTAAATTAGAACACATGAACTTCACAGTTCTCAAAAAGTTTATTCATTCTCTAAGTCTTCAAGATTCATATGTGTAATCAGTTTTCACTGAGAAGCATAATAAAAAAATGCTGACTAGTCCTCAAGCCCAGGTCAAGAAAACCAGCTCTAGCATTGAGGCTTTAAGGATCTGTCACTGCTTTAAGGATCAGTTGACAGCTCTGTGAGTATCTTGGACCACCTAAAGATCTACTGGAAGGCAGAATTTCAGGGACAAATTTCACTTTACCCCTCAGTTGTCTTTACACGTTTGTTAGAGCAGAGTGAGCTGACAGAAGCCTCAGTTGCAGACTCTTAATTCTTTTTGTCCAGGCTTTGGGCCGCCCTGTTATTTTGGCTGATAGTACTGGAAAGACAGAAACCCACCACAACCCACTCCGGAAACTACAGTTACTTCAGGAGCGAATGGAGCAACTCCCACCATCTAAATGGGGGGAGCAGGCTGCTGTTGGACTCAAACTGGTAAGATCTTGAGCTCTTAACCTTGCAGTTAAATGACTGTCTCTGCTTTTTAAAGATGGTTAGAATAGCAGCTTTACAGTTTACACACAGCATTCAACTTCGGAACAAGATTTATTCTGTGCAGATTTCCTCTGGGACTTGAGGTACCAGTGATGGACAAATTCAATCCTCAAGTCATGGAATTTATTTATTTTTCTTTACAGTCCATATCTGTAAGACTGAGCTACCTTCCTCGGTGCCAAAACCTGACCACACACATTAGCTGTTCACCTGTTACGTTTTCCAGGCAGCTATTTCTTCACTCCAGCTTTTAGGAAAACGCATTTTACAAAGCATATTCTAACAGGCATTGCCTTTTTAAACTCAGCGCCGCCTGCTCGCGCGGGTGCCCCCACCGATGCAACGCACGGCGACCGCCCTGTCCTGTCCTGTCCTTCCCTCCGCCCGCCCGGGAGCGGCCGCGCCCCCTCGCCCCCCTCCGCCAACGGCCGCC